CTTATGAAAAGTGTGACTGAACAGCAGTTTCAAACTCTGCCTTTAGTGTATTGCTGACCAAGGCAGCAGTGACCACGAGCTTACCCTAAGCAGGGGGCAAGTTCCTGTCTCACTTCCATGCATCATGTGCCAAGCCTGCTGGTAGCACCACAAATGCCTCTCCTCCCTGCAGCTAGTGAAAGGAAAAATGTAAAACCACAGCAGCAGGGCCTGGTTTATCTTCTGATCACAAAGGTCAGGTATTTGCAATTCTGAATAGCTTCAGTTAAATTCCAATGTCCAAAGTAGCAAGAGATCATTGTTGCTACAATGTTGTAGTTTGCTACATATATTATAAACCACTGTTGTTTTTTTTTTTACCTCTAATGATTCTGATGTCAAACCAGAGACAGTGTTTCAGGGTCTATCTGGTGAATCTGTGTGTTTCAMGACCAATCGGTTTCTGTCACAATGATGGTCAATGTGCCTGAAAGCTTTCAAATATGATTTTTTGTTTTAAAAAACACCAAAATTTTGCAAAATACATCTCTTTTTTGCCCGCATTACCTAAATGAAGGAAAAGCTAACACATAGACTGACAACAAAACTTTTCTTCTCTATTTCCTGCAGTTTGAAGAATCTTACCTCGAAAAAAAGGAGCATCTGACAAAGTTACAAAAGGGTAAGTTTCCTTCCCGTTTAAATAATAGCAGTGACAAAAGTAAAAGTAATTAGAATTAGCATGAGAATTCGTATTGGGACTTGATTGTCTGTGGGCACCTAAGAATTCTTAATTCGTAGTCTTTTACAAAGAAAATCTCACAACTATATTGTACATGAGGTGTCGGAGGTGCACACTGCAGTGTGTTAGGTGGTATCATCCACCCAGTTGCTTCAATCTTCACTGAAACACTTCATGCCTGTAGGGATGAGTTGCTATTTGGAAAATCAGTAAAGTAGTCACAACGATTTTTTTATGCTTATATGTTCACTATTATTTATATTCACTATTATTCACTCATTATATGTTGGCCATTGCTTCCATAGTCCAGACACTCATTGCAAAGCATGATAGAAACTGTCTGGCTCAGGTCTTTCCCTCCTTCTCATCTGTAATAACTCCCATGAAAATCACCTGAGTTAGGGCCAGGTAGGGCCTGTATTTGTCAGTGTATGACAGGGAAACRTTCTGCATTTGGCTGCTTCCTCAAATCTGAAATTTCAACAAGTTCACTGCTATATTATTAGTTATTAACATGTCACTAAATGTTGGTTGTCCCATGGTAAACACTTTCCAKACCTTCTTGTAAGAAGGAGGAAGATTGCCACCTAAAGGGTGGTSAGGCATTGAGCAGGCTGCCCAGTGGTTGAGGGAGGTGGTTGAGCCACTGTGTATAGATGAGCAAGATGCCACTGTGTATAGATGGGGATGTGGTTTAGTGGTGGAGTTTGGCATTGTTGGATTTGCAGTTGGGTTCAATGATCTCAGAATTGCTTTTCCAGTCGAAATGCTTCATATTCTGAATAAAATGTGATTCATGTGGTTACTTTACCTAACATTCACTCATGCCTGTCATTCAGAGAGACTGAAAGTGTCCTTGTGTTCTTCCCTTTCCCCTAGATGGATCCCTGCTCTTTCAGCAGGTACCAATGGTAGAGATCGATGGAATGAAGATGGTGCAGACCAGAGCCATTGCCAACTACATCTCAACGAAGTACAACCTCTACGGGAAGGACCTGAAGGAGAGAGCCCTGTACTGTACCAGTAGCACCTTTGCTTGTTAGACCCCAGCTCCTACTGTAGCTCTGTGTAACACAAGAATATCCCAGCTCACAGGTGGATGAGTGGGGCAGAGCAGCACTTCATGCAGCATGTGTTGACTGTGACCACAGGCGATGTCTACAGCAGTGACAGCCAGCTAGATTAGATGGGGCAAGAGAGCCCATGAACCATCAGCCAGAGGTCAATGCAGTTATCAGAAGAAAGCAGTTAGGAAGGCCACACTGTCTTAATGATGCTGCTTTTCATTTTCTCCTTCAGTTGTCAGTGGCATCATTTTCACCTTGTCAAATTCAGGGACATGGATTTGATGGAAACAAAAACCTCCTTTCTCTAAAAACCAGGAATTAGTACAGAATTAGAATGAATAACTGGTTATTAAAGGACAGGATTCTTAGGGCACATATTTTGTCCTAAGGTATTTTTGAATGCTTCAAATTAATAAGCACTGGTAAACACATCTCAAGATATTTGCTAGAAATGGTATAGACCTGTTGTTTAATTTACCCTCGCTGATTGGATTTTTAACACATTTGGATGACACACATGACAATTTCGTACTCAGGTTGAAACCCCTGAGTACAGAGAAGTCTCAGTCCCAGTGRGAAGTGGAAAGGGTACAATCTTTAGGTTTTGCTTTGGAATTTTGCATTTGTCTTTCACCCA